TGATTTGAAAAGTGAACATAGTATGATGTTTGAGTGTTCAGGCCTCTTGACTCTGCTTCCACAGGAGGAGGTTTATAAAGCGAGTGTGGTGAGACTCTGAAGACCAGTGGGCACCGTTAGACTGCAGTATGCAGCCATTTAGATAATACTATGCCCATGATGTGCCAAGGGAAGATCATGGTGTAAATATATCTCTTGTGAGTCCATGTTAAACTGAGATGTATGAGGAGGATAAATTACTGAAAGGTTGTATGGAGAATTTTATTTTTTGTTTCAAATTGTCAATGAAAGTTTAAAATACCATTACAGAGATTCAGCAGCCTTGTAATTATTAGGGCTGAGTAACGATACATACCTCGATACACAGGCCACGATACGATACATATCTCAATACAGTGCACTTTCGATTCAATATGATATATTTCAAATGGATTCGATACGGTTCAATAAAAAATAAAGGCTAAATCGTGGCTGTGATACTAAAAGTCTTTGTTAAACCACTTCTTGTGCAAAGTGAATATGAAACACAAACATTTTAATCCTCAAAACAGTAAAAATATCAAATGTGTTGCATAAATTATTTTCCTTTCACTCCACAAGCAACAAAACTGTAACTCTGTAACAAAATAATTTAGTAAAACACACCTAAAAATACTCTTGGTGAAATATCGATACAGTAGCCCACGATATCGATACTGTATCGTCACATTAAAATATACGATATATCGATATTCTGATACTTTTACACACCCTTAGTAATTATGATGACCAAAAAAAAGAATGAAAATCTATCAACTGTGGACGTAGTGAGGCCAGATAAACATCAGCCAATAGATAACAAGGCTGCCTCATTTTCTATTGGCTGTTAGGTTGTCAATCAAACTCCCTACGTTTCTAGTGTAACTGACTCGCTGGCGCGCGGGGATTATGTGGTTTATGCAGCGGTTTTTAGAGGCTTTTTAAAACTGTAGCTTCTTCGCAGTTTGCACAAAGTTTGGTGGACGAGAATCCACGACCAGTTCGCCGCAAAAGAAAGTACAATTTTGAGGTCGCTGAAAGAAGAAGAGAAGGAGAAAAGGAGCAAAGCCAAACTGAGGTGATTCTTGGAGATCTCTTCTAGCGATTGCGCGACTGAAGTAGATGAAGGATCTAAAAACTGACGCTAATTTATTTCTAGACATGTCACTTCAGCAGTAATTCTGAACGCGCACTGGCTGTAAACAAGCGTGATTTCTAGAGTGAGGAGGCGGGAGGAGGTGTTTCTACTGGGGGAGGTGTGGAGGATGAAGGTGGTGTCAGGCATACACAACATTAGAAAAAGAACTGTTGTTGTATTTCTCTTTCCTTAAAAAATCCTCTATACAACCTTTAAATTCTCTTACACCTGGCAGCAGTAAGAGGTATAAATGGTCATTTTTTAAAGTAAAATACAGAAAAGCTGCTTAAAAATGACCAAAACATAAAACAGTGACTATACTGACTCACAGATTAGTTGTGAATAAGTCATAAATGGAGCAAGTACAGAACAATTTTTCTTAATTACGCACTTGTAACACAATTTTATTATTACTAACTACTACAAACCAGGGATGTCCTGTTTTTTTATTTTGAAAATCTGTTCACACTACATATTTACCTCCGCCAAGGAGGTTATGTTTTTGCCGGCGTTTGTCTGTTTGTTTGTTTGTTTGTCTGTTTGTTTGTCTGTTTGTTTGTTTGTCTGTTTGTTTGTTTGTTTGTTTGTTTGTTTGTTTGTCTGTTTGTTTGTTTGTTTGTTTGTTTGTCTGTTAGCAACATAACTCAAAAAGTTATGGACTGATTTTGATGAAATTTTCAGGATTTGTTGGAAATGTGAAAAGGAAGAACTGATTTCATTTTGGGGGTGATCCGGAAGAAACCCTGGATTCTGGATCACTTTGAAATTTTAGTTAACATTGTGGTAAATGGGGCCAAAAATTTTGTTTCTCAATATCTCGGTTAATTATTGACCAAACCCCATGAAATTTGACTCAGGGATGGACAATGGGATCCTCTTTCATATTCCAAAGGCTGATCCGGATCTGATCCAGAAGACTGATTTTATCGCAATTTATTTAAAAAATGGGGGTAGTCTCTGAGTGCTTTTCTAGTTACTTCTATTTTTTATCTCTTTGGTTGTTTGTACTCACAGGCATATATGCAGTTGTATTCTGTATATTGATACTTGGCAGCTGAGCGTCAACATTTCCTGGGGGTGTGATGCTATCTGTAGGCACTGCTCTGTATAATCTGATCTTTATTTTAACATAATCTGACCAGAAAGAAGCGAGTTATCTAGAACTACAGGTGAACTGATTTGTGCTGTTAAAAAAGTCAAGTCCTTCTCAAATATATCGATATATCATATACTGTATAATGTGATGATACAGTACCGCCAAGAGTACTTTTTGGTATATTTTACTAAATTATTTTGTTACAGCTATAGTTTTGTTGTATGTTCAGAGGAGGGAAACTTGTTTATGTGACACATTTGTCTGTTTTGAGGATTAAAATGTTTGTGTTTCATATGAACTTTGCACAAGATCTAAACCAGGTCTAAACCAGGACTAAAGCAGGATTAAAACAGGACTAAACCTGGACTAAACCAGGACTAAACCAGGGTTAAAGCAGGATTAAAACAGGACTAAACTAGGACTAAACCAGGATTAAACCAGGACTAAACCAGGATTAAAGCAGGATTAAAACAAGACTAAAACAGGACTAAACCAGGACTAAACCAGGACTAAAACAGGACTAAAGCAAGACTAAACCAGGACTAAAACAGGACTAAAACAGGACTAAAGCAGGACTAAAACAGGACTAAAGGACTAAACCAGGACTAAAACAGGACTAAAGACTAAAGGACTAAACAGGACTAAACAGGACTAAAACAGGACTAAAACAGGACTAAAGCAGGACTAAACCAGGACTAAAACAGGACTAAAACAGTACTAAAGTAGGACTAAAACAGGACTAAACCAGGACTAAAGTAGGACTAAAACAGGACTAAAGCAGGACTAAACCAGGACTAAAACAGGACTAAAACAGGACTAAACCAGGACTGAACCAGGAACTTTGCACAAGAAGTGGTTTAACAAAGACTTTTAGTATCACAACCATGATTTAGCCTTTATTTTTATTGAACCGTATCGAATCAACTTGAAATATATCGTATCGAATCAAAAACTCACTGTATCAAGACATATATCATATCTTGGCCCATGTATCAATGTATCGTATCGTATCAACAACTTCTTAATGATACCCAGCCCTATTCTCAAATAACATCAGTCATTATCCAGCAGTTTTTCAGTTAGTCTCTCTCATCTTTTTGTTGAAAATCAAACTCCTGAACAGAACCGTGAACACTCAGACTGATCACAGGCTCCTGAAAATGTTCTGTTTACATCCATTTTGTGTTTTTCTTGAGTTTCCAGACGATCTTAAAACTTGTTAGACAGTGTTTGCTCGTCTGTGCATTGTGTCTCCATGTAACTCACACTAAGCATTCCAGCACTAGAGATACACGTAGAACACCCCCAACGTGAGATCACTGCAAAGTATCAATATATTTAGTGTACTTAGTGCTTATATTTCTTGCATAGTTACTTATAATTAGTTGTGCACAGTTGCAGTTGTGTTTTTCTTGTGTATTTTTAGTGTACTCTGTGTATTTTTAGTGTGTACTCTGTATAGTTGTGTATTTCTTGTGTATATTTGGTGTGTACAGTTGTGTATTTCTTGTGTATATTTGGTGTGTACAGTTGTGTATTTCTTGTGTATATTTGGTGTGTACAGTTGTGTATTTCTTGTGTATATTTGGTGTGTACAGTTGTGTATTTCTTGTATCTCTGGCCTCAGTCGTGTCTCTGATTGTGATTAATGACGTCGTCACTGAAGCGCCACAGAAGCAGCTGTCACATGACACTTTCTACTTCCTGTGTGTCTCCCCACCGTCCTCTCAATAAACAGAACTGAACCAGGACTAAAGCAGGACTAAAGCAGGACTGAACCAGGACTAAAGCAGGACTAAAGCAGGACTGAACCAGGACTAAAGCAGGACTAAAGCAGGACTAAACCAGGACTAAAGCAGGACTAAAGCAGGACTAAAGCAGGACTAAACCAGGACTAAACCAGGACTTAAAGCAGGACTAAAGCAGGTCTAAAGCAGGACTAAACCAGAACTAAAGCAGGACTAAAGCAGGACTAAACCAGGACTAAAGCAGGACTAAAGCAGGACTGAACCAGGACTAAAGCAGGACTAAAGCAGGACTAAAGCAGGTCTAAAGCAGGACTAAACCAGAACTAAACTAGAACTAAAGCAGGACTAAAGCAGGACTAAACCAGGACTAAACCAGGACTAAACCAGGACTAAAGCAGGACTAAAGCAGGACTGAACCAGGAACTTTGCACAAGAAGTGGTTTAACAAAGACTTTTAGTATCACAACCATGATTTAGCCTTTATTTGTATTGAACCGTATCGAATCAACTTGAAACATATCGTATCGAATCAAAAACTCACTAAACCAAGATTAAACCAGGGACTAAACCAGGACTAAATCAAAACTAAAGCAGGTCTAAAGCAGGACTAAAACACAACTAAACTAGAACTAAAAACCAACTAAATCAGATCTAAATAAGGACTAAACCAGATCTTAACCAGGACTAAAACAGAACTAAACCAGGTCTAAAACAGGAATTGTAGTGTGGGTGTGAGCGTTAGTGGAGGTCTGCGATTGGCAGCCGCTCCAGTCTAATCTGAAAACATCTAAATTTAAACTAATCCAGGTCTAAACCCAGGTCTAAATCAGATCTAAACTTGGTCTAACCCAGGTCTAAACTTGGTCTAACCCAGGTCTGAACTTGGTCTAACTCAGGTCTAAACTTGGTCTAACCCAGGTCTAAACTTGGTCTAACCCAGGTCTAAACTTGGTCTAACTCAGGTCTAAACTTGGTCTAACCCAGGTCTTTTGTGTTGCAGTGCTGAACAAAGGCCAGTGTGTGACTAAATATTATCGGTGGATTCAGAAAAATAGCGGCTACATCTGGATCCAGTCGAGCGCCACCATCGCCGTCAACGCCAAAAACAACAGCGACAAGAACGTCATCTGGGTCAACTACGTGCTCAGGTAAGAACTGAACCAGGACTAAAGCAGGACTAAACCAGGACTACACCAGGACTACACCAGGACTGAACCAGGACCAGGACTAAGACTGAGATCTGTCCCACTCTCTCCGTCTCGCACCAGAGCCAAACGATCGTCCAGTCAAATTAATTTATTTCAGTAACAAAGCATCTCATTGGTCGCTCATCATTTACAAACAAAAAGACCTTTCTGTCACGTGAGATGAACAGAGTTTAGTGCTTCACTCACTGATTCTGATTTTGCAGAAATCCACCATGTTTTTCTGTTCTGTGATATTTTTGTGTCTCTGAATGTTTCTGAATGCTTCTTTATGTTTCATCTCCATAGTAACCCAGAGTACAAGGACACGCCCCTGGACCTGGCTCAGCTCCCGACGCTCCCAGAGAAGACCTCAGAGACCGAAGAGTCCGAGGAATCTGAGACCGAGTTTAAGGAGGCCTCAGGTAAGAACTGAACCTGGACTAAACCAGGACTAAACCAGGACTGAACCAGGACTAAACCAGGACTGAACCAGGACTGAACCAGGTCTGAAGCAGGACTAAGACAGGAGTAAATCTGGACTAAAGCAGGACTAAACCTGGACTAAACAAGGACTAAACCAAGCCTAAAACAGGACAGGACTAAGACAGGACTAAAGCAGGACTAAGACAGGACTAAAGCAGGACTAAGACAGGACTAAAGGACTAAAGCTGGACTAAGACAGGACTAAAGCTGGACTAAGACAGGACTAAAGCTGGACTAAGACAGGAGTAAACCAGGACTAAACCAGGACTAAACCAAGGCTAAGACTAGGACTAAAGCTGGACTAAACCAGGACTAAACCAGGATTAAAGCAGGACTAAACCAAGGCTAAGACAAGAGTAAACCAGGACTAATCTAATCAACCACAAAGCAATTTTTGAAATAAAGTTGAAAAACATCTGGGTAATTAGAGGAAGTAGAGAGTCTCACACTGATGAGAACTCTGTCCAGAAGTTTGACACAATTTACACTGAAGAAACAAATTATTCTGCTATTTGAAACAACAAAACGAATGATCATTTCATTACCTTTTTAATAATCAAATATTAGTCTCTGTGTACATTAGAGGAGTTTTGGTGCAGTATACTACATGGTTGCTAGGTAACACAAGATATAGTCATTTCTTTAGTAAAATCTTCAACATAAATATCCCAGCCGTGTTTTAGTCAGATGAGTGGTCCAACCTGTCGTAAACACTTTAATAATAATAATAAAAATGCATTAGTCTCACAGGGCGCTTTTCCAGACACTTAAATTCGCTTTAAAATGTTGTCCAACTCCTCCCCATTGTCATTTCTAAGTCTTCTCTTCGTGATGCTGTTCCCTCTCCCTGGTCGTCCCCCCCTCCCCTGTCAGTGCCAGTCCCTGCAGCTGTTGGCACCTCTCCTGGTTCCGGGTTGGCTCGGTTTTTTGGCAGATCCGTAGAAAAGCGCGTCTGTGTGAGATCCTGGCGTTGGATTCACAGTTTTTGGCCGTGTCCGTGTTTGGAGCTACAGTTTGAAGTGGTGCTCGTGTCCCCTCCTCTGCTCCAAACACAATGTCCTGGAACTCTGGGAAATACAGCGGCTTTAGTGTAAAAACAGAGGAGAGGGGTCTGAGCTCACGCTAGAGGTACAAGTTATAACCACCGCTGATTTCACTTGGGTTATTATTAAGGCTGCAAGATTAATCGGAATCACATCGAAACGCAATTTGAACGGACGCAATCAGCAAATCACAAAGGATGCTGTTTTTTTTTTAGTCACATTATTTCCTCCACAAACAACAAAATATCCTGACTTCTTCTAAATAAAAACGTTTAGATTTGTACAAACAAGACTGAAATGTGATTCTTGTATTAGTTTGTCAGTTCATATTTCAGTCTTTTTGTCATTTCTTCTGGACGTGTTTAAAATGTGAACTTAAAAAGAATAAATCGCAAATCTATCACAATCACAATGTCTGAAAAATGAAAGGTTGATATTGTTCAGCCTTATTAATATGTAGTAAGCAGATTCTAGCTACATTCATTCATTCACACAGTTTAGGAGAAGGTGGTGAAGCCCAAGGACACAACGACAGCCCCAGCAGGGTTCGAACCTCTGACCTTTGGGTTGATGGAAAAGAGTTCTAGACCTCTCGCTGCCCCACCATGTCTAACTTGCACTTTCCAAATCAAATAAAAAGACTGAACATCACATAATTGAGTTATGCTGCGTTTAGTTCTGACACTAGTGTCTGGGGCGTCAGGTTTACTCGTAAACTCTATGAGGGACATACACTGTGTATATCTCATGGATCTACACAGTCAAATAAAAACTGGATAAGTCGTTCTCCCTCTGTCCTGGCCCCAGACCGACCAGTGGCTGCTCCAGGTACTGCAGCTCCGGGAGTTTGGGCCCAGAAAGAATTCTCCCACAGAAACACAATGCAGTTTTTGGGAATTCCAACTGCCCGTGTTCTGACAGGGCATCCAGCTTTCACAAAGGTTGGATTTTGTAGGGATTCTTTTCTATTTTCACAACATAAACTTTAAAAAATAAATAAATAATTAAATCCTCAAAGCGCTTAAAATTTTGCTTTGTAAGACTTGGCCCCGCTTTGAGAGCAGGTTATCTCCGCTCTAGCAACTCTCGCTCTGATTGGTCCAAACGCTCCACGTCGTGCACGTTACAGACGTCACACGGTGGGACGGGTGGGAGGAGCTCGCCCGTATTGAGGAAGTAAATGCAGAAGTGAACTTTTTTTTTTGGCCCATGAGCCAATGAGCACAGGCCACTGAAAATAATACAACACCATCTGCAATAAGATCCTCCAGATTTGATTATAGTTCTATGATTTACCTCAGGAGCTAAACCGCTAACCAACACCTTCCAAACAGAAAGTGACCATGGGCTCACTTCCAGTTCACTTTCTATTGAAAAACTGGCACCTCTCTCTGTACGTGCTGCTGTGAGACTTGTCATTTTCATTTTAAAATGTTTGTATTAACTCACTCTACATGATCCTGGTGTTTTTATTTAGCTGTTTTGCTCCTAGATCAAAATAGGAACATTGATAATAGACCAGTGCGCTGCCTTCTTCCCCTGAAGTCATTCCCACAAACAGGATCAGATTTGATTGACAGCATTGCTAAGCGCTGACTTATATTTCAAATATTGAACTTGGCTTCAGTTTAGCTGCTGTGAACTCAATGAGCTTCATTTGGAACTGAACGCTGTGGGTGACCTCACACTCCCTTAGTCCACTTCTTTACACAGCCTGTGGTCTATGTTGGTCCTTTGTGCGTCAATGAGTTTCAAGCGTTCTCGATTTTAAAGAGATTTAAGTATGTATCTTCACTTACGTCCCATTCTCTTTAAGGGGAATTAACCAAACTGCACTAAAATATGCCAATAATGTAAAGAAAATGTGAAGCTGCTTGTTCTTTTAATATTGATTCTCGTTTGCTCCACTCTGATAATCCCCCTCACAGAGAATGAATGGCCCTTGATCCCTGTGTCACTTAAAGCTCTGTGTGTCTTTATGAGGTGACGCTGAAATGTGTCTGTGTAAAATGATCCTAATAGAGACACACAGATTTCCATTTGTGCCAGAAACAGGAAAAAGAGAGAAGGAAGAGAGGATGAGAAGAGGAGAAGAGGAGAAGAGGGAGGAGACATTTTGGGAAAACTGGACGTGAGCCATCTGGACTGTGCACGATGTGTTCACTGGCACCTGAGTGTGTGGGAAAAACACATTAAAACCAGTCACATGCACCTGGTACAGACGGACATACAGACAGAGAGAGAGAGAAAGAAAGAACGAAAGGGAGGAGACAGAGAGAGAGAAAGAGAAAAACATACAAACAGAAAGAGAGAGGGAGAAAGTATGGGAGGAGAAAGAGAGAGACAAACACACAGAAAGAGAGAGCGAAGGAGGGGAGAGAGGGTGGGCAAAGAGAGGAGAGAAAGAGGGGGAGAAAGAGGATGAAGAGAGAGAGAAAGAAGAGACAAAGGTAGAGAGAGGGGGGCAGAGAGAGATAAGGGGGAGTTTTGAGAGAGAGAGATGAGAGAAAGAAAGATAAAGAGGGTAATGGAACAGAAAGAGGGAGAGATAAAAAGGGAGGGGAGAGAGAGGGGCAGAGAGGAAGAAGGGACAAAGAGATAGAGAGAGGGGGCAGAGAGGGAGAGAGAGAGGAGACATAGAGACGGGAGAAAGATAAAGAGGGTTATGGACCAGAAAGATAGAGGGATAAAAAGGGAGAGGAGAGAGGGGGAGAGAGAAAGAAGAGACAAAGAGGTAGAGAGAGGGGGACAGAGAGATATAATGAGGAGTTATGAGAGAGAGAGAGAGAGAGAGAGAGGAAAGACAGAGCAGGAGGAGAAAGAAAGATAAAGAGGGTTATGAAACAGAGAGAGTGAGTATAAAGGGAGGGGAGAGAGAAAGAAGGGACAAAGAGGTAGAGAGAGGAAGGCAGAGAGACATCACCGGGAGAGAGAGAGAGAGAGAGCGATGGAGAGAGGGGAGGGATAGAAAGAGCAGGGGGAGGAAGAAAGATAAAGGGGGTTATGAGAGAAAGAGAGAGAGAAGGGAGAGTGGGTTTTAAAGGAGCTGAGGCGTCAACAAAAGAATCCGGTTGCTCATTTGACCAATTGGACCAATCACAGAGCGGCGTCGTGGTTTGGGACGGAGCCAAAGGTGAAGCGCCCAAATGAACCAGAACAAAGATGGTGGAGCAGATGTACGACGGTTGTTACTGAAAACGGAGCAAAGGAAATTGGATTGAGCAAGTTTGATTTAACAGCTCAGTCTGGTGTTGTGGCGCTTTGGCCAATCAGCATCAAGTATTCCACTGAATGTTCCACCTTTTTCCAATCACTTCACATAACTGTGGGTCTGGACTGAGATAGTCCCCGAATTAGTGGTGGAAGAAGTACTACATTTTGACACTTGAGTAAAAGTACAAATACTAAAGTAAATACAAATATCACCTGTAAAATTCTACTTAAGTAACAGTATTAAAAAACCCTTTTGAAAATGAACTTCTGAAGTCCTGGATCAGTCTTGGTTTAGTTCTGGTTTAGTTTGTATGTGGTGCAAAAGTCCGGCATCTCGATCAATGAAATAAAGCCTGTGAAGTGATGGTGTATTTTTGACAGTCGAGTCGCGTCTGTGAATTCATACTGAAGAAAGTGTAATCGTAAATTTTCATTTCGTGATTGTAATTCTTGTTGTCATAACTTTTCAGTTCATATTCTGATGGATAAAATACACACAGTACATTTTATGTACAACTGGACTCATTCAAATGTTTACGAATATTTATTTTATTCTCAACTACAGACAAATATGCACAAATTTCCCAAATATGCACAGATTTCTTAGCCTGATTCATCAGCCGGTTTTACTTCGTTTTACTTCGTTGCACTTTGTCCAAACGTCTGACCTCACAGCCTTAGATTTCGTTCTTTCGACAGTAGGCAGGTACTTTTTATCATTTAACCAGTCGCTGCTATTTGGTCGTGATGTATGTCACCACTAACTCGACTAACTGGTATATTAAGCTTTTCCCAAATCCCGTAGGAAGAAGGACAATAACGTCTTTCCCCTTGATAAAATTCACCAAACATTCTCTTTATTCTGGCTTTAAATCCTCGATCTCAGGAATCACTGACAACACTGAATATATGTCTCTTTGCTGATTGGCTGGTGCCCAAACTTGCACTTAAGGGGTTTTTGTGAACTGTCTATTGTATTGTATGATTCCTGACCTAGTCGCTGGAGAGAAATGAAATTTCTGAAAGGTTTTTTAATCCATAAAAAAGTAGAAGTATTTTGTGCAGTTATTGAAATCTAGTAAAGCTTCAAATGTAGTGTTTTGATGAAGATTTGTGCTGAATTTTGTGTAACTGAAACAACTGAACAGATTTTTATATTACGTATGTTTTGTTGAACTATGAACATGTTCAAAATGAACTCCTCAGCTTTTTCAGCAAGTCTCAGACTATAATAAAAATACAAACATGTAATGAAATTGAAAGTACAGATCATTTCAATCTTATCAACCTGATATCTGTTCAGAGGGTCAATGAGAAGGAAACAACTATAACAGGGTTAAAAGCTCTGAAAAGTCAATTAGGCAGAATTTAACTTTAACATTAACTAAGCTGTCCTTTCTTTGTTTCCAGACAACGAGAAGTCGGAGGGAAAGGCCAGTCACCTCTCGGAGCACAGCGAGGATCCCGAGGTCGAAGCCAAACGCCAAACGCACACCAGCCAAGTGCACTGTTCCTCTGAACCTGAGCCCAAACGCCCGGACCACGGAACCGATGGGAACTCCAGCAACCCGGAGAGCCAGGAGAGCGACGAGAGCCCGGAAAACTCTGAAAACGAAGCAGAGGACACTGAAGAATCACGCACTAGTACAGGGAGGCTGACGAGGATAACGGGACTGGGAGCGCTCAGTGGGATCGGAGCCATCAGCGCGTTGGGAAGTTTAGGTGGACTTCACATTAAAGTGGAACATTACGGAGAGAGCGAAGAGTTACAGACACGATTAGCAAACTCTTCATCGTCCGAAGAGGAGGGAGGAGAAGAAGAGGAGAATTTAAACGAGCAAGAATCAGGTTTACAAGAGTGTGAGAGTAAACTCCAGAAACGCCGGAAACGCAGGAAATCTCAGCAGAAGTGGGAACGCAGTCGCAGGATTCGCTTGTCCACGGATTCTCCCAGTCCGATTCCTTTGGGCGAGAATGCCACGTTAGCGGAGAATTTAGCGACTTCGGCTAACTCTCCGACGAACTCCACAGCGATGTCAGCTTCCTCTGTGCTGAAAATCAAAACGGAAATGGCAGAACCGATAAACTTTGATAACGACAGCAGCATTTGGAACTACCCGCCGAACCGGGAGATTTCCAGGAATGAGCCGCCGTACAGCATGACGGCGAAACCAGCGTCAACGAACAACAACGGAACGCCTGAATCCTTCCCGTCGCCGCAGGGCCAGAGCGTCGCCATTCCGGACTCGGTGCTGACTCCGCCCGGGAACGACGGAGGGGGCGGAGCTACTGTGCGGAAAACGGCAAGCTTTAACGGTAACTCCACGCCATCGTCTTCAGCGAGCGTGACAAGTTTAGCTCCGCCCTCCAGCGTGTCCTCTGCAGATCCGCTGTCTCCGCCTCTATCGGCGTCTCCGCGGGACAAGCAGCAGACCACGCCCACTACGTCCTCCACCAGCCCCGCCTCTTCCTGTGCGAGCTCCGCCCCCTCTTCCTCTGGCCCCGCGGTGCTGTACTCCGGAGACCTGGAGGCGCTGCAACGACTTCAGGCCGGAAACGTGGTTCTTCCTCTGGTGCACCGAGTGAGTGGGACGCTGGCCCCGACGAGTACCAGCGCCCCAGAGTGTATACCACCGGGACTATCAGGTATTTACAGATGACAATATAAACTAGTATGTGTTAATAGCACTTATTATTTTCATTACTGTTTATTAGGGATGTAACGATATCCAAATCTCTCGGTACAATATTATCACGATATGCATCTCACGGTACGATATTTATTGTGATATTTTGGAGAGGCTAATTTCTGCTTTTAAAATACCTTGAGAAGTGTGAAATTTGGTGTGAATTATTTCTGACATAATCCCAAAAATTCAAGTAAAAAACATATTTCTTCATGTTGTCTGCACTGAAATGAATCATGGGATACATAGTTTTCGATGTTCATAAGCTGTTGCTAACAGGAACTTGTGATTTGATATATTGTAACAGTCCACAATATTATTGTGAGACTTTTGACGATACAATATCACAATATTTTGTTATTGTTACATCCCTATTTATATCTCCATGGAGAAAAATACATTTGACTGACCCTCCACCAGAAAAGTTATACAATGCACCTTTATATTTACCAATATAAATGTACCTACAAGGTAGTACATACTTGTATACAGTGTGTACTGTAATACCACTGTGTGCTGGGACTATACCACAGGAACCCTCAGGTTTAATATATTACACTAATATGAATATATATGAAGTAATTACATAAGTGTCACCAGTACAAACAGTTTACATGGATCATTAATGTACAGTATGAGTGTTGGCCCTAACACTGACCCTTGTGGAACCTCACCTGTAATATTTTGATACACAGATTTGTATCAGCCTGCCCAAACTGCTGCCTGTTTCCCAAAGAATTCTTCAACCAGTTTACTGCTATTCCCCTGATGCTGTAACCTTCTGGTGTTTTAATTATTTATTATTTTTTTGTATTAACATTTGCACAAATACTAACAGAAATATCAATATAAACTCTTTCTCCTGCCCCTCCTCCTGGCTCCTCCCTCCTCCTGGCTCCTCCCTCCTCTTGGTCCCTCCTCCTCAGGTACGCTCCGGCCGATGTGACTCTCGCGATGGCGCAGGGAAACCTTTTGCCGAACGCCGCGGTGAACTTCGTGGACGGCTCTGGTTTTGGTTTGGACCCGAAAACGCCGATGGAGATGCTGTACCACCACGTGCACCGGCTCAACATGTCTGCAGCCGCCGCTGGGCCATTTGTGGGCGCGAGTACGAATCCCGCCTCCGGGCAAGTCACGACGGCCGAGGGGCTTTTCTCCTCACTGCCTTTTCCTGTCTACAGCAACGGCATCCACGCCACGCAGGGCAGCCTGGAGCGCAAGGAGGACTGAGTGTGCCGGACTGTGCCGGACTGTGCCGGACTGTGCCGTCTCTGCTGACCGCGCTACTGTGCCAAAACCAGCCCAGGACTCAGACAGGTGCGATAAGGAGAGGCAGGGGGCGCTATGGAGCAGAGTTTAAGACCAGAAAAATGCATTAAATCTGCAGTAGTTCAGTCTCCAGCTGAAGGGGTCACATTCTGTAACTTTTAAAGTACTTCTGGATTCTCCAACTTTGACCTTTTAATGTTCAAACTTCAAAATAAAAGGGCACATTCCTGACATGTATTTTTTTAGGTCAGGAAATTGCCTTTTACTTCAAGAAATCTTTAAAACAACATTTATGAAAAAATACAAAACAAAAAACAGACCTTTTGCTGGACAAGAACCATGTGGAAGCAGCTGTCCCAGACACTTGTGTTAAACTGATGCAGAATAATACAGTTAGTTGTGTAGATTTGATGTCTTCTTTTGGCCTCTCTGCTCCTCTCTCCCGGTTCTTATGGTTCTCGTGGCTCTGTTCGGGCTCTGCCTTGGTTCTGTCTCAGTCCTGTCTCAGGTCTCTGGGTCTGGGCTGGTTTCCACAAAAAAAGACTCTAAAAAATGAATGATATTTCTACACTTGGTGCAACCCGGAGTTCCGGTTCAGTTCCGGTTCAGATCCGGTTCAGATCCGGTCAGATCCGGTTCAGATCCAGTTCAGATCCGGTAATGGCGTTAGGACAGACGACGGATGTAAAACTCAAGCACTTTTTGGTCTGGAGTTTGGTGATTCGACTGTGAGCTTTTCTAACCTCTTCATAAACTAACACAAACTGCTTTTGCCTTCAGAGAATTCCCCGGACTCAGCGAGCGTGGGACATTTACATATTTTTGTTTTTGTGTCGCCATGGAGACACAGACATGCGTATATAATGTGGGACTTTCCCCTCTTGATGTGATCAAGGCTCGAAAAAAGACTTTTTTGAACCGGGAGGCAATGAAATCTTTACAAAAGGTTTTGGGACATTTGTGGAGGAAAGTGCAGAGGAATATGGCTATTACTATGAATATTTTTGTTTTGTTTTTTATAAAATATTGTAGCTTAGATTCAGAAATGAAGAAAATATAAAAAGCAATTCCAGCCGGTGGCGCTGTGATCTCGAATGTTAAATCTTCTTCCTGTTTCCGGAGATACACAGGTCCCTGAAGGAGCAGCGCTGAGAGGTCAGAGGTCAGAGGTCATACACACTATGTTTAAAAAGAGGGCAGATTAAAAACTATTACCATTTTTTTTATAACTGATAATATTTACTTGTGATTTTGTGCTAAAGCTAAAAAAACTTCTTCCAGTTGCCACAGAGTGAGCCTCTGGTAGCTCCGTTGGCAGAGCAGATGACTGTAGAGTCAAGAGCAGAAATCCTCAGGTCGCTGGTTCAAATCTGACTTGAAGGATCTTTAGATGGGCCCAGACAAGCCAAACGTTCAAATGCTAAAAAGCTTTGATGATGACCCACTGCAGACCCACATCTAGATAAAGTTAGTTAGTCCTACATTAGCTCTAAATACAGTAACAGATTTACACCTGAACTGTCCCCACCTGAGAAAAAGTTTAATCACAGAAGTTTGGAGTTAGATTCAAACTTTTTTTTTTTTTTTTTTTTTTACAGATTTTTAAAAACATGTTTTTCTGCTCCTCGTGTACGAGCTCAGTGCTGCTCCTTCAGCTCTCGCACCGAACATGACCTCTCCTCCATCTCTCCATCCCTCCCTCTCTTCTCTCATTCACTCTCCCCTTTTCTCTCCTCTCTCCCTCTGCTCTCTCTCCACCTCTCCTCTCTCATTCCTTCTCTTCTCTCCTTCCTCCTCACTCTCACCCCTTCGTGGGTGCTGGTGACCACCTCTCCTCCCTCTCTCCTTGATGTCCTTCTCTCTCCTCCTCTCTCCCCCCCTGTCTCCTCCCTCTCTCCCCCTCCCCCCTGTGGGCTCCTGGTGCTGGTGAGCGCCCGTGTACCCGGGTACCCGTTGGGTTGAGGCGGGTGATGCCAAAACACCCACAAACTTTTACTTTTTCATCAAAGATCGGCTCTGTCCCTTTGTCCGTTTGGTCCGATGTGATTGGACCATGAGCGGGAAATCTGCCCGGCAACAAAGAGCTGATTGGCCTACATGGTGTTTTTTATTGCTTTTTAAAAATGTTTTCTAACGTGTTAATTCTCAGTGAGACTGAGGCTAATTAGCTAGTGAAGCTAACTTGAACCTGAATGTTAAACTATGACCGACTCCTGTTGTTTTTACTTTTTACACTGTGAAAATACGACTTATTCTGTGATTGTCCCGCCTCCTTAGACGTGGTGGAAATGAACCGACCAATCAGACGCTTCCTAATAACGAACCGACCAATCAGACGCTTCCTAATAATGAACCAACCAATCAGATGCAATAGTATTTAGCTGTAAGTTTAAGCTGAAGTTTTTAAAATGTGATTTATACCACAGTGTCTCCTTTGGGACATAAGTGCTCAAAAGACAAATACTACCACAAATACTACAAAGTAATAGTACTAGTTGTAGTACCTGAGCCCAGAACCTTGTGAAACCAAGTTCTGGTAATCAAACCCAGAACCTTCTTGCTGTGAGGCAACACTAACCACTGCACCACCGTGCCACAGTTACAGACATTAGCACTGTCAGATTGAGGCTGGGATCAGACCAGTTAGCTCCTGGTTAGAGGGCGACAGCTCCGCGGCCTGAGCCTCACTGAGCTCTGTCGTTTTGGTCGGTTCAGTTCCACCGCTCCTTCTTCCTGAACCAAAACACCTCCACTTTATATTTTTACACAATGATCCGCTCTCTTCCATCTCCATCCCTCTCCTCCACTCCTCCTTCTCTCCATCCCTCTCTGTTTCTCTCATCCTCCCTCTCTCTCCATTCCACCTTTTCATACCTCCATCACCCTCTTCTTCCCTCTCTCTCTCTGTCCTCTTCCCTTCCTCTCCCACACCTCCATCACTCTATCCCTTCCCCCTCTTTACCCTTTCTCCCTCCATCTTTCAATCTCTCACCCCCCACCCCTCTCTCCCTCCTTCTCCCTCACCCCTCCCTCCATCTCTTCTGTGAAAAGACACATATCAGCTGAGATTGTAATAAGAACAATAATATAATGAATAACAGTTGCATTTTTCAATCAGATTTCTCTCAAACAATCAGCCGTGTTAAAAAAGCGTTTTTGGAGGACTCCACAGCGCCTCCTCTGTTCTGTGCTCGTCGTCTTTATAATCTTTGCCAAAAACGTTTCGTGTTGAAGCACTGTGAGCCGTTCCTTTGGTGGTTTTCGCTCGGCCTTTGCGTGTGTACAAAGCGTAGCGTGTTTCAGTCGTTTCGTGTCCGTCTCCAGCGCCCCCCTGTGGTTATATGCAGTATTTACCCAGCTCTGTAGTTTGTCCTTTGTCTCTCTGTGCTCTCTCTCTCTCCTGTGCGGGGCGATCGAGGAGGGGCGGGGTTAAAGGAGGAAAAGGGGCGGAGCAGCACTTTTAAAAATATTGAAATAAGATAAGGGTTTGATATCACTGAACCATAATTCACAAATTTTGATACATATGTTTTTGGTTTGGTTTATTTTTGACAAAGGTGGGATTTTTAAAGTTCTACTGTGTAACTTTTTTTTTTTTTTTGCTAAAAGTAGACTAAAACATTTTGGATGTTTAAATTGCATAGAAAAACATGTCCTTTCTATGAGCAGGCTTGCATCTCCACAAACCTGGCTCTTATTTGGCTCCTCCTCCTCGTTTCCATGGAAATATTGTTCCTTTGGCCATAATATTTCACACTATATTATAAAAAAATCATCTATCTCCATGGAGACTGTTCCGAAGTATAGATTTATCTTTATGTTTTCATGGAATCGTGAAGATGACAAGCCAGAGCCATGTCCCGAAAGTTACGCAGTGTTGCTTTAGAAAAGGTTTGTGTTATTGGCAGTTTTAACCATCAACACAGACACTTGGAATAAGATGCAGTCACATTTTTCATCCAGGTTTGAGCCCGGTTTAGTCCCATGTGAACTTAGTCCAGTCCTGGTCTAGTCCTGGTCTAGTCCTGGTCTAGTCCTGGTCTAGTCCTGGTTTAGTCCTGGTCCAGTCCTGGTCCAGTCTTGGTCTAGTCCTGGTCTAGTCCAGGTCCAGTCCTGGTCTAGTCCTTGTCTAGTCCTGATCCAGTCCTGGCCTAGTACTGATCCAGTCCTGGTCTAGTACTGATCCAGTCCTGATCCAGTTCTGATCCAGTCCTGATCCAGTCCTGGTCTAGTCCTGGTCTGATCCAGTCCTGGTCTAGTCCTGGTCTAGTCCTGGTCTAGTCCTGGTCTAGTCCTGGTTTAGTCCTGGTCTAGTCCTGGTCTAGTCCTGGTTTAGTCCTGGTCTAGTCCTGGTTTAGTCCTGGTCTAGTCCTAGTCTAGTCCTGGTTTAGTCCTGGTTTAGTCCTGGTTTAGTCTCTTAGTCTCTTTCTCCCACTGTGATCTTCTCGTTCTCATTTCTCTGCTACATTCTACTTTTTGTCACTCTTGAAAAAGAATCAGAGATAGTGTCAGGGAGTTGGTTTCCCATGATTCTTAGTAACAACGTGTCTGATTGGACAAAATAAAGTGATCCTGTCAGGAGCTGCTGCGTTACTTATTACCTGAGAAAATGTTGTAAAACAAATAGATGATATTTTACAGTCTCATTTTTTTCTTATGTAGCAGCTTTTGCCAAAAAGTGTAAAGAGACTTTATCTTGACTAGAATGAATCAAGAGTTGTTTCAAACCTAGAGTGACCAGAATTTCAAAATAAAAAACTGGGACATCCCTGTTTTTAGGTGATTGGTAATAATAAAATAGTGAAACGAGTGCATAATTAAGGAATATTGTTACGCACAGACCATTCATGACGAACATGTGAGTCACTATAGTCACGTTTTCTCTGTGTTTTGGTCCTTTTGAAGCAGCTTTTTTGTATTTTACCTACACAAATGACAATTTATGCCTCTCTTTACTATTG